CATTAACGCATGTATGGGGCAGTTGCAACGCAACACCACCGCCACCACAAAAAAATAACAAATTTATCTTTAACCAACCAGCAAAAGAGTTTATGCCATCTATCTCTGGTACGTGACTCATCAGTCACACTCAGGTATGGCTATCAAATGCTCATCAATCTCTTCCATGGACAACACTCTGAAAACTAGATTTTCCTTTCTAGCGACTCCCACCTCAATTTCAATGGCCTTGAAATCCTCTTGTAAGAGTGACTGCATATGCCATGCAGGTATACATCCTTGCAAAAAACTTGCTTCGTTGCTTTATTTATCCCTTACTAAGTTGTTTTTCTGTCCCCAGATCAACTCGCTAGTTCAAGTCATACTAGATCAGGTCATTGCCTCAAGTCGCGAGTTCCTAAGATGAGGGCCTACAAAGAGACCCTCTAATCTTAGCTAGAAGCAGCCTATCTCAGCGTCAAGGAGGACTGACAGTGGTTCTATTCCCCTAATGCGAGTATGAACCACAAATTAGAAGAAGCTAGGGGGGACGATTTCCAGTTTGAACAGCAAGATCCAGGAACAGCGGGTCAAGCACTTTGACGATATTCACCAAGCCAAAGTTGTTTTTGCTGAGCACTTTTGCCGATCTCTGGAGTTTGAACAGGAGAGAATTGAAGTGGTGGTACCTTCTCTGAAGAGGGGTTTCAAGCTATGCCACCACTTTCTCCAACGCCTATACCCAAACCTTGACTTGGCTCTATATCGCTTAGGTCGGTTCCGGACAACCTGACCCAAGGGGTCGAGCAAGAGGCAACTACTTAAGAAGAGGGCGACGATGATGAGTATGATGGTGAGGGTGGTGACGAAAATGATGATTAGTAGAGGATCTGTCTTTCCATGTAGGGTTCGACTATGATATGGAAAAGATATGATATCCAAAAAACAACTAATCAATAAACATTTCCAAGACTACTATACGCCGGGCCTGCGAGCTCGATAGAATTTGAATTTGTTGCGACCTATATTCTATTTTTGCTGGTTGTAGGGAATTGTCTCATAAATAGAACTTCTGAAATCTTCCCTTCCTCACCTTTCCCTTTTACTTTTTTGTTTATCAGGTAGGCCATGAAATGCCAACGCCCTTTGGTTCAAGTGTGCCTTAGCTGGAATGCCAGAAGTGGAGTTYGACTTGACTATGTTGGAACTACGCTAACCCCATGAGTTGATAAGTCATGTTGAGGTTGCGGGTGCATCTGAAGCATCTAGGGAATGGGCATGAACCGCGATTGCATATTTGCCATCACTCAAAGGGGGGGGGACCCTCCCAGGTCTACATTCATAGGTCAAATGCCGCACATGTGATGCACCTGCTCCTGGAACTGTTGGTTGTCCAATCATACGAGAGCTATGGGGGCTCAACCTGAGGGGGAGGCTCTACTATCTGTGTGTCGCTGGCTCTCACGGGAACCCTGAGAGATTCAACCTACGGGGCCAACTCCACAATCAACTGGCTGCCAACTCTCACAAGAAACATGGAAGTCTCGAGATGCAGTGCAGCCTTGCAGTTAAGGCTAGGAGACTATTTGTGCTAGATCTCTAAAGCTTGCCTGAGTTGGCCATTCAGATTCTGCCCCCTTATGATTGCATCATCAATATGTGTGTTTCTATTAGCGTTGTTGAAGACATTGTTGCTTGCGGATGCCATTGAGCTTAGGATTAGAGAAAGGTGAGAACTTGGATTTGTGTAGTGTTCCTACAAATGTCACCATGATGCACGATTTGGTGCTCCTTGCTGGCAGATAGCTCCAATGCTGAACTAAGTAGGTTGCTTTGTCGAGCTGCAAGAAGAGAGAAATCAGAGTGTCTGTGATGCTTTCCCGGTGTGGGCACTTTGATGCTTAAGTCAGTGATGAGTGTATTGTGAGCTAAAAACTAACAGAGCTAGAGAGTTGTGAATGCTAAATCGTGCATACCCTCTAAGGTTGGAAGTGAGACCTTTATATATGCATTGTTTGGCGTGAGCTTCATGCACTACATCTAAGATCTCTGGGAAGACGTGGCTAACCGGTCCGAAGTCCTTGGAGGTAGTTTCGCATCCAGACTAGGCTTTTGTGCCATTCTCCGGAATAGGCATGTTCATGAGTAGGTTCGGGTCGGGATTTGTATATGTATCAACATAATACACTTAGGCCAGAGCTCGAGCCCGAGCCAATCATCGGGCCTAAGTCTTGAGCCCAAGCCTAACCCTCATATAAAGCTCGAAGCTTGGGCCCGAGCCCGAGCCCGACCCGGCAAAAAATTTGAAAACTGATTTTTTTCTTTTTTATTCAATAAAAAAGTGTTTTATTTATATTAAAAACCTTTAAAACTAAAAAATAATAAACATCTCACTATTACTTAAAAAAAAGAGAAGAACAAAGAAAAATATTATATATATATATATTTGTTAAATAAAATATATTTTTATTATTTAATATATAGTATCAAGTCGGGCTTGGGCTTGGACGGGCTTTTTTGAGAAAGCCCAAACCTAAGCCTACAAGCCTAAAATTATGACCAAGCCCAACTTAATAATGGGCCAGGCCAGCCCGTTGGGCTACCCGACCCATGAATAGGTATACTTGGGAACATTTGGTGTAGGAACTAACCTTCGGAGGACCCGAGAATGATGAGACACACGCGGAGGAGGTTGGTTAGCACGTCTCGCAGGTCGCCACTTCGACCTCAGTTAAGTCGGCAAGTCCTCAAGGGAGGTTGTTTCTCACACCAAGGTCCCTTGGACTAGTACTAATGAGGTACCATAGGTTGGCAAGTCCTCGAGGGAGGTCTCTCCTCACGCCGAGGTCCCTTGGGCTAGTAACGACGAGGTACCACAGGTCAACCATGGACGAGGTGCTGCTAGCTACCCTATTAAGGTGCCCAAGCTGTGTATGAGGTGCGTTAGACTGATTCTAGGGTGAGTCTCCTTGACTTGGCAAGATACGCGACTATTGATAACTTTGTATTTTGATGCCTTAAGGGCATCATTTTAGGGGTATTTTAGACCTTAAACTAACTAATCTGTACCCTTTTCTAGTTAAATTCAATGTTGTGACCTCTGAGGATCCCTGTGCAAATTCTGGTTAAAAATTGGGAAATTTATAGTTTTTTTTGCAGATTTTGGGAAGCTTGCGAGAATTCCAGCTGAGAGAGGGGGTGTTTCTGTGAAAAACTAAGCACAGGAGGGCACCTCCTATCTGGTAAACCCAAAAAGGCGCACCTCCTACTGTATTAACATACTCCCCTCTCCTTAGCAAAACCTAGGGCGGCTCCCCACTCATTCTTTTCACCTCTAACAAACCCTAGCCGCCCTTAACTGCTAAATCTTTACCTTCCACTCCTTCCTAACATCTAATCTCAACCATCCAAACCTTAGCAACCTCTCATACCCTTAGATCTTCACTTTTTATCTCAGCCACTCACCGTAGGGCGCCACCCACTCCTTTTAATATCTACCTTTCCACCCTAGGCGCCCAAATCTCCACCATTCAATCCTAGGAGCTTAAATCCCAACCTTCCATACTTATACGCGCCCTCTCCTTTTCACTCTAATCGTATGATCCCTCTTGTTTAATCCTAACCCTCCATTCTCAAATCTTAGGGCACCCATATTTTTGCATAAACCCAAGAGCTTCCCATCTCTTCCTTTCTAATCCCAGTTATRTCCACCATTCTCTATAAAAAGGACCCCAGGGGCTCTTGAGAAGGGGTTGACTAGCCCAGTTCACAAGGCCAAGGCTTCTTGATCTCTTCCTTTCTAATCCCAGTTATGTCCACCATTCTTTATAAAAAGGACCCCAGGGGCTCTTGAGAAGGGGTTGACTAGCCCAGTTCATAAGGCCAAAGCTTCTTGAGGAGTTCAAGGGTTACAAGGTGGAGGACGCCCAGTTCTTGGCAGGAGGGGTTCCTGCAAGCAGTTTGTCCAACCTACAACTGCCGCCACTAGAGTTGATCCACCATTTTTATTTTGTTTTATTTTCTTTCTTTTTGTTATTCAGTTTTTCTAGCAATTTAATTTCTGYAATTTTCGATTTTGGTTTGAATTAATTTCTATTTTTCTTTGTCTTTTGCAGATCTTACTTTGCCCAGTTCAAGGCTAAGGTGTCTTCCCGGAAAGCTACCACCACTGGATCCGAAATTCAAGGCTAAGGGTTCGAGGGCTGAACGGAGGAAGAATGGCTTGCAGTTTGTCTTCCCGGAAAGCTACCACCACTGGATCCGAAATTCAGCATATTTTTATTTATTTTCTTGTTAATTTCAGTTTTATTTAATTTCTGAATTTTATTTTTTGTCTTTTTCAATTTTGAATATTTAATTTCAGCTTTATTAAATTTTATTTTCTTATTTTCTACAAATCCCAAATCTGTTTTCTTTTCTTATTTGTTTGGAACGAAATAATAATTTTTAACCTTGCTTTCCTGAGCATTCGACCCCTTCCTCACCACTAAACTACGTTCTTTATTTAGTTTTAAGGATTGGAAAAATATAAATTATTAAACTGGTGTCCCAGGTGTTTGACGACGCATCCTGGGTGCACCAACTATCCGCATGGTGCTGAAATGTCAAGCGACGAAAGTGGCCACAAGTCGCTAGGTCAGTGGAGGGCCAAATCACCCCTTATCAGTAAGCGGTTTTGCTTTTCTTTCTTTTTTTTTTGACCAACATAGATATCCTACGCTAATTCATATTTTTCAAACTTTATCTTCCTGTTTTTTCTCCGGGTTTATAATATAAGCTAGAATACCCAGATGAATTCCAAAATACTGTCATTCTGCCAAGTCTTCCAAATGAACTATCTCCAAATTCCTTTACAAGTCATGTATTCATTTCTATGTTTTATCTAAAAGAAACAAAACAAATTTCTTTCTGTGCAAATGGACAGCCGAATGGTGAAATTCAGAGCAAGCACTAGAAATCTTGTTCACAAAGAGGATGTAACATAAATCGATCAAGAGTTCAAGACACGACGAAGTTGCTATCTAGACATGCTTGTCGACTGGATCAATTCCAATTCCAATGGGATTCTGCCTATGGTGGCCACGTGTGTCAGCAGCGTGGACATTCATTCTTTCAGTCCTGTGCTCCGCCTTTTCCTTGTGTAGTTCTGCCTTGGCTTCAGCCTTTTTGGCCTCCTCCCGCTCGTGGGCCATCTCCTTCTCCTCTGTAGTTTTTGCTGTCGCCTTCTCTACCTGCAAATATGACGTCCAATGAAATGAATGAATGTAGCAGAAGCTTAACGAGCCATTCATAAGAGAGAGAGAGAGAGATTAACCTTCTCTTCAGCCTTGGCTTTAGCGATATTGACGTGCTCCTTAGCAGAACTGGCCATGTCGCTGATCTTCTCCTTGGCTGCCTGCATTTTCTAACGCTTCCTTCTACTTTGTTATGCTCAGACAAGATCGATCGAAATGAATTCAACACCGAGATGGACAGAGAGACGGATTATATATCTTTTCAACGAAGAAGCTGACTTCTCTATTTCTAAATTATAGGGTAGATTATTCCTAAAACAATGCCACAATAACTGTCGCGCACGGAAATACTTCTCACCTCTAAATCTCTAATGGCAGGACGATGACGAGAGCTTCGCGCAGCCACAGATCCATGGAAACTCGACTGCCTAGCCAAAATTGAGCCAAAATAAAAAAAGTCTAGGACCTCTAGGTGGACCGTGGAGCTGGCCAACAAATGCCTCGCCCATTCGATCCACGACCGTTAGTATTTGTCTTCACGTTCGGGTCCAATATGAGTCCAGGACCAGGCCCAATCCAATCTGAATACTGGCCCATTTTAGATCAGTCCAATTCAAAGTATGGATGAATCTGCTCAGATTGGTTTTAATTTAGATTAATTTAGATTTGTTTCAATCTAAACCTGGTCCATTGATGTTCGGGTCATGGCTGAGCTGGCCCTGCGAGACATGTGGCTGCTTAGCTATCGCCCTACCATGCCATCCTAGCTCGGCCACGTCGGCTTAGTGCAGCCATGTCAACATAGCTCGGCCGAGCTACGCTATCATTGTGGCCCCCCATCTTATCCTTCCAACTACGTCAACTACACGTCACATAGATGAACACAACTATGGATAAGGAGGAATAAGAAAGACGACTCTGCTGGGGAATAGGATTCTATCCCGAAAACCTCGGCGGCTAACCTCATCCCATCAACCCTGAGAGCCCAATCCGACCAGGACACGGATCTTCGGCTATAAGAAGGTACTCCACACTCGAGGTAAGGATCCCAACTTCTGACACCCATACGGCTACTCAGCTCGGACCCGCATCCTTATAGCTCGACCCGACCATTCACCGCCCTCTCATTGACTTGAGCGTCGGAGTACTTACCCGGGGATAACTCCTCGAGCCTTTGACTTCTTGATCGCAGGTGACATAGCGCGGCATCGTCCTTAAAAGCTCGGCACCGCCCAATCAGAAAGGATTATCTGGTTGCTCTCCTCAGTTCGTGCACTACGTCAAATTGAGCAGCATCAGATTGGTGCCGTTTGTGGGAACGTACAAAAAACCTTCACGAAAAATTTCTCGCCACGCAACCTCAAAGCCAATTAGGATGCCTAAAAACCAGTCTTAATGATCAGTAGGCCATTCCCCGTCCCGGAAAACCGACATCACAACCCCATGCATCAGGAAGCTCTGCAGCCCTCGGCCGCCGTGGACCTAGCACAGTTCTGGGCTATGCAAGAGAAGGTCGACAAGATCTTTGAGTTCCTGTAGGTGATGGGGTTTGCTGCACCACTCAACCAGGTCGTCCCCCTCACACCCCAACGCGCACAAAGGAAGATCCTCGGACTGAGGACCCCAAAGTACGTTGGATGGATGTGAGGGGAGCGTAGTCCGAGCGAGAGAAGTAGGACACGACCCGAAGGCCTGCCTCTATTGCCCGCTCCCGCAAGCAGGATCATCACAGCCAGACACGCCATTCAGCTTGAATCCCCACCAAAGAAAGGCTCGGAAAAAAGACGCTACTCTTCGTGGTTTTTGTCGTCGAGTCAAGCTCAGTCAAGGATCACCCTATGTGACCTAAGAAGAAGGCCACACACACTGCGGCCCTGGACAACAAATATGCCGAGATCAAAGAACTCCAGCAATGTTTGGATGAGCTAGAACACACTCAGACCCACAAGAAAGAGACGCCAGCCATGGACCAACCTACGCGGGCTACCACGCATATCACTAAGGAGTCGCCCTTCGTCCAGGACATCATGGACGACTTACCCATTGCTTGATGGTGAGCCCCCCAATTTGACAAATACGATGGGAACACCGACCCTTTCGACCATGTCACAGCACTCAAAGCTCAGATGATGTAGCACGGCACATCAGAAGGACTGATATGTAAAGTCCTTGCAGCCACCCTACACGGTCCAACTTTGGCAAGGTACCCCTCTCTGCAGCCACGCTCCATAACTTCATGGGACCAGCTGGAGACCCAGTTTCTGGCGTACTTTACCACTAGCCATAAGCATTGGAAAACTTTGGCCAGCCTCATGCAAATCTGACAGAAGAAGGCGGAGTGCCTCAGGGACTACCTGTCGAGGTTCAACAAAGTAGCACTCCAGGTCAGGGACCTGAATCAATCTGTCGCAGTGACGGCCATACAGCACGGGCTCCGCCCTTTCCCGTTCAGCTTCTCCATCTACAAAATTCCTCCTCAGACGCTAGCCGTGCTAATGAGTCATGCACAAAAGTATATTAACGCTGAAGAGGCTTAAGCGCAGTTTAGAGACGAGGATGAGAAGCTCGACAAAAGGAGGAGAGATACCGACGAGCGGAGGTTCGAGAGGTCGGACAGAGACCGCAAGAGATAGGATCGCCGGCCGAACCATAGACCTCGGACCCTCCACCGACCTACCAGAATTTTACGCCGCTCAATATTCCGCGGATTGAAATTCTAATACAAATCCGTGACCACAACTACGTGAGGTGGCCCGAGAAGATGAAGACGCAAAGTAACAAGAGGAACCGAGACAAATACTGTGAGTTCCACAAGGACCATGGCCACAATACGAAAAACTATTTTGACCTGCCAACCATTTTGAAGACCTGATTAGGCGCGGTTACCTCAGCAGCTTCATAGACAGAAGTGAGAAGCCAGCCCAAGAGGAATGGAGAACTGATGAAGCTCAACAACCGCCGCCCCGAAGCCCCCAGCCGGTGTCATCCACGTCATATTAGGAGGAGCCGCTGGCAGAAGGGAAAGCAACTTGGGTCAGAAAAGATATGCTCGGTTGTGCAAGATCGACGACCGAGGTCACGGGAAGAAGCGCAACACATCTATCACCTTCACTGACGATGACCTGTCGAGGATCACGTCCAATAGCCGAGACACTGATGGTGGAGGCCTATGACCTACGTGACGAGGTGAAGGAACAGTGTGGCCAACCTACGTGACGAGCTTTGAGTGTTGTGACCCATGGAAGGCACAGTGCAGGTCCCCCTCTTTGGAGAAGATCCCAAAAAGACAGTCCAAATCGGCTCCCAACTAGACGACCACCTCCGAGAAGAACTTATGCAACTACTAAAGAACAACGCCGACATATTCGCTTGGTTAGCAATGGACATGCCTGGAATTGATCCTGAATTTTCACACAGTAGCTGAATGTTGACCCCCATTATCAACCTGTGAAGTAGAAGAAGAGAAACTTCACCACAGAGCGGTAGTAAGTGATCGTCGATGAAGTATAGAAGCTGCTTGACGCCGACTTTATTCGGGAAGTCAAGTACCCTGATTGGATGGCCAACGTAGTAATGGTTAAGAAGGCCAACGGAAAGTGGAGAATCTGCATCGACTTCACCGACTTGAATAAAGCCTGCCTCAAAGAAAGCTTCCCCTACCAAGGATCGGCCAACTCGTTGACGCAATAGCAGGACATGAGCTGCTGAGCTTCATGAATGCCTTCTCAGATTACAACCAAATTCGGATGCACCCGGACGACCAGGAGCGATTGACTTTTATCACTGACTACGGCCTATACTACTACATGGTAATGCCCTCCGACCTCAAAAACGTCGGCGCCAATTGTCATCAGCTGGTGAATGAGGTATTCCAAGAGCAACTTGGCCGGATGTAGAGGCGTATGTCGACGATATGCTCGTGAAGAGCAAGAAGGCCGAACATCACCTGGTCAACCTTCGAGAAGTCTTCGACACATAGAAAATACAAGATGAAGTTAAACCCAACCAAGTGCACTTTTAGGGTTGGCTCTAGCAATTTTTTGGGATTCGTGGTAACATAGAGAGGAATCGAAGCAAATCCGGAGAAGATAAAGGCCATCCTTGACATGCCATCCCCCCGGACCCATAAAGAAGTGCAGCGGCTCACCGGGAGAATAGCCGCCCTTAGCAGATTTTTGTCCAAATCCGCAGATCGGTGCCTCCCTTTCTTTAAAGCCCTTAAGCGGCTGAAAGATTTCCACTAGACAGAAGAATGTGAGTAGTCTTTCCAGGAGCTAAAGCAGTACCTGAGCTTGCTGCCCCTCCTGACTAAGCTGAACCAAGGGGACAAGCTATTACTCTACCTCTCGGCTAGAGATGAGGTCGTCAGCTCAGTACTGATTAAAGAAGAAGACAAGGTACAAAGGCTAATCTACTACACTAGCAAAGACCTCAGTTGCGCAAAGACCCAGTACTCCAACCTAAAAAAGTTAGTCTTGGCTCTCATCACAGCCACCAAAAAACTTAGACCCCACTTCAAGTCCACAGCATCCRAGTACTTACTAACCAACCCCTTAAGCAAATACTACAAAGGCTGGAAGTATCCGACCGCCTAGTCAAGTGGAGCGTAGAGCTAAGCGAATTCGACATCAAGTACGCATCACGATCAACGATCAAAGCCCAGTCCTTGGAGGATTTCATCACATAATGTACATTTACCACCGAGGAACCGGCCCCACTGCCCCCAGTATGGACTTTCCACTTAGATGGCTCATCAAACCAGCAGGGCAGTGGTGCCGGCCTCATCCTCCTTGGCCCAGACGATACAGTATTGGAGCACGCCTTCAAGTTTGAGCTCAAGGCGTCCAACAACGAGGCTGAGTATAAGGCTCTAATTGCTGGGCTCCACCTTGCCTTGGACCTCGGGGCCCGAAGAATTGAAGCCTTCAGTGACTCGCAACTTGTGGTCAACCAAATCCATAGCCAGTTCGAGGCTCGAACCCCCTCTATGGCGAGTTATCTACAAAAGGTGCAGGAGCTCATTCAACAGCTCGAACATTTCAATATTCAGTAGATCCCTCCAGCCGAGAACGCCCGAGCCAACTCCCTTTCGAAGTTAGCTAGCTCGCTGCAGACTAACCTTGACCCAAGTGTTCGGCTAGATACACTGGCCCAGCCGAGCATTGCA